CACACACACACATAAATAAATAAAATTAAAAAAAAAATGATGTAAAAAAAATAAATAAAAAGCATAAAAATTAGGAAAAAAAAAAAAGGGTTAGGAACTGTGCAGTTCAATGGCAGATGCTTGCCTAGCTTGCATGAGGCCCTGGGTTCGATTCTAGTACTGCAAAATAGAAGTAAAAATAAAAAATATCCTTAGAACCATATATACATGCAAAAAGATTATCAGTGGCTTGGGACAACATCCCAGGGACAACAGCAGCACACTTAGAAAATGTTATGGGTACTGGTGTGGCTCAGTGGCAGAACACATGCCCAGCACGTAACAAATGCAGGTTTAATCCCCAGCCCTGTGGGGAAGGGTGGCACACAGGACAGTGTCAGGGATACGCACATGTCCAGGATGGTAGTGAGCGGTGACGGGGGGAGAAAAAGGTTCAGTGCGCACTAAGCAGTAGCGCTTCACGATGCATTCTGCCCAAGTGGACTTCTCCATGTGGCCACGAGGTTAACATGATTTTTAAGATATTTCTAAATCTAGAAGAGCTCCCTCAATGACCATAAAATAACCACTTGTGTTGATTTTTTTCAAAGTATTTTTTTCGGGCCTGCTGGGGAGATAGCTCAATAGAGTAAGCACCTGCCTGACAAGCACAGGGTCCTGAGTTCAATCCCCAGTACCACAAAAGAAAAAACACACACAAAAAAATAAATGATAATAAAAAAATAAAATTTTGGGGGGGTGCCTGGGAGATGGCTCGGTAGAATAAGTGCCTGCCTGGCAAACACAAGGTCCTTAGTTCAACTCCTGGTACTGCAAAATAAATAAATAAATCATAAAAACTAAAATAAAAGATTTTTTAAAAAAGTATTTTTTTGTTAATGGTGTGAGAAATAATGGTGTATCTTAAAGTTTTCAGTGCTCTAGAGTCAGCAAAATAGGGTTTCGCCAAGTTCTAATACTCTGTCTATAAAATATCCTTAGACTAACTTTTTCAAGGGTTTGACTAACAAGGCCAAGAACATTTCTGCTGTACAACTGAGATATTTGACAAAATAAACCAATTCTGTAATCGATGTCTCAAGCTCATAAAATTCTCACATTCATCATACCGTATCCATTTATCCATTTTTCCTAATTTATATTAATAACTCATAATTATTTTTAATATTTTTTTTTAACATTTATTGTGTGTGTGTGTGTGGCCAGCTCAGCCCACCAGGGGGTGCAGCTGGCTGGCATGTGGTGCTGGAGGATTGAACCGCGGTCCCTGTGCTTTGCCAAGCTTGTTCCAAGTAGGTGCTTTAGACCACTGAGCCATCTCTCCAGCCCTATTTTTAATATTTTGGGGGTTTTGTTTGCAGCACGGGGATCAAATCCAGAGTCTCACACATGCTAGGCAAGTGCTCTCTCATGGAGCTATACTCCCAGCTCTTACACATTTTGAGCCACTTAAAAAAAAAAAAGAAATCCTTACTATTTGTTTTCTCCTCTAAATAAAATCTATTCCTGGTATTTGTTCATTGATGCTTTTGAGTGCAATGAGATAGGATGTATATAACTCATGTGCTTGCATTACAAATATTTTCTCCATCCTTTGGTTGTGTGCTACACTGAACTATTATGTTTTTATTTAGTTCTTTTGTCTAGCTTTACTACTACAGTTCTACTCAGTGCTTTAAAAGAGAAAACAGGACTGGCAATTTCATTTCTGGAAGAGCATGTGCTTAACATGACTGAGGTCCTTGGTTCAACACCCAGAACAACAGAAAGAGAGAAAATAATCTCTGTAGAGCTAAGAAATATTCACTTCAAGGGACTATTTGGGTTTACTCTTCTTATGGCAGAGTACTACTCCACTGTGTATAAATACTGCATTTTCTTCATTCATTTATCTGTGGACAGACTTATCAGCTGCTTCCAAGATTCAGCTATTGTGAACTGTGTTGCTGTATAAATAAAGAGCAAAATAAAAGACAGATGATAGGAAATGAGGAGGCAGCTGTTTTGCAAACGAGAACAGCACCAAGAGCTACCAGAAGTGGGGAGAGAGGGAGAAGAGGATGAAAAAAGGATTAAGATCTATTACACACATGCACCAGCTCCCTTAAGGAATGTAATTGTGAAGGACTACAAACACGTATGCAGAATACGAACTGGGAAGAAAAACAGAAAGTAGGAAAGAAAGGGACTATGTGGGAAAGGGAAGGGGCCTAAGGGGAAAAGCAAAGGGGAAAGGTGACAAGGGCAGGCCGACATAATCAAACCACAAATTTCATATGCAACAATAAACATATGGAAATATCAGTGAAAACTATTGACTTTTAAAAAGTTTTTCTTCTACTTGGGAGGCTGAGGCAAGAGGATTGGTGTGAGTCCAAGGCCAACCTGAACTACACAGCAAGACCCTATCTCCAAAAACAACAACTACAAAAAGCAAAAAGTGTTATCAAAATGCACTGTGGAGAACCAGCAGAGAGCTCAGCAGACTAAAGCGCCTGCTTAGGCAAGCCGGGTTCCATCCCCAGCCTGCAGTGCCGCCCGGTCCATAGGGCATGCTGAGACTGTGACTGAGACTGGGTGTGGAAGCACACAAGGCGCAGGCCTGTAATCCCAGTGCGTGGGAGGCTGAAAACAGGAGGATCACCACGAGTCTGATCTGTGTAGTGAGACCCCGTAGACCCTGGACTAAATATACAGAAAAATATATATATTGTAGGGTGTAGCTCAGGGGTATGGCACATGTTTAGTATGCACAAGACTAGGGCTGATCTCCAACACGTCAAAAAAAAAAAAAAAGGGGGTACTGGGATAGATGGTGTGTACTTTCTTCAGTGTTTACACAGTTTCAAACTCAAAGTTTTGAAGACAGAGGCTTTGTAGATTTTGAATAAAATTCAGGACTTGGGCTTTCCCCTAAAAAGGAAGCATCATTCATAATTTATCACCAAGGAAGCCTACAATGCCACATTTGTATACTGATTCTAATGAGTATTCTGACTTCTTCTTTAGAGCTTGTGTCTAATGTGTATAAGCTTTTTCAAAAAGGAGCAGGGATGTTGGGCTGGGGATACAGCCCAGTGACAGAGTACTTGGCTAACGTGTAAAAGACCCTGAGTTCAACACCCAAAATTACAAAGACATGGAGTGGGCTTTTTTTAGAATAATAGCAGGGAGTTTTTTGTTTGTTTGCTTGCTTGTTTTTTGTATTTAGTACAGAGTTTGCAAGGTCTCGCTACACAGATCAGACTCGTGGTGATGCTCCTGTTTTCAGCCTCCCAAGTGCTGGGATTACAGGCGTGTGCCACCACACCTGGACTCCACAGCGGGTGCAACATGCCTAGGGGGTGAGGCTGGCACAGCCTGTGGAGCCAGGGACCCAACCCTGAGCCCTCCACTTGCCTAAGCAAGCGCTTAGTCTGCTGAGCTACCTCACTGGCCCTAGTAGATTTTTTAATGTCATCAAGGCTAATATCTAGAGAAATTCTAGCAATTACTCCAAAAATATATTTCTAGAATCTAAAGTCAGTGTGTAAAATGAATTGAATAAAATGAAGTAATCAAATAAAGAAAAGGAGTCTTGCCTATATATGTGAATTCCATCTTTCTAAATCCGTTCACAACTAAATTCTGCTCTAGTATATCATTATATTAAGTGACACCATCCATAATCACTCCATTCCACAAAATAATTACTTCCTTATAGCTGGACCTAATGCCCTCCTGTACCGCCACAGTTTTTGTTTGCTTGGTATGGTGGTTTTTTGGATCTTTTGTTTTTATTTTCTTTTACAGGACTGGGGAATGAATCCAAGAAATGCTACACAACATCCCCAGTTCTTTTTATGTGTTAATTTTGAGACAGCATCTCAAAGAGTCAAGGCTGCAAGTTTTTGTTTTGTTGAGACAAGGTCTCACTATGTAGTTCAGGATGGCCTTGAAACCCAGGCTGGCCTTTTTTTTTTTTTTTTTTTTTTCCAGTACCAGGGACTGAACTCAGGCCTTGCGCTTGCCAGGCAAGCGCTTATTCTACTGAGCTATCTCCCCAGGCCCGCCCAGGCTGGTCTTGAACTCACAACAATTCCTGTCCTCAGCCTCCTGAGTGCTGTGCTGATAAACATGCACCACCATGTCTGGCTCTGAAGGTCAGGTTTGAGACTGGCCTCAAACATGCAATTCTGCTGCAATAGCACCCCAAGTAACTTGAGTGACAGGTACACTATACTTGAATACAAGCCCTTAGTCACCATCTCTTCTTTATTCTGTTTTATTTACAGGATTCTTTCCCTAGCCCTTTTCTTATTTTTCATTTTGAGACAGAGCTTTACCATGCCACTAAGTTGCCCAGGCTGGGTTGGACGTGCAGCCCTCCCGCTTCAGCTGCCCCGGCAGTCAGGGTTACGGGCACGCACCACCACGCCTGGTTTTTTGCACAGATCCTTGACTCCACTTTATTTAGGGATCACTAAATAATACTAAATAATAATACTATCTGTGCACAGTACACAGCACCCTCAGCTATCCACACCACAGGCTCCACCACCCATAGATCAAAATTAGTTAAGGGAAAAAACTGTGTTAGTACAGAATATGCTTTCCCTGTCACTATTCCCTCAACAATCTAGTAGCAATTATTCTATCATTTAAATGATATTAGATATTATACATAATCTGGAGATAGGGGCTGGGGAGATGGCTCAGTAGAATAAGCGCTTGCCTGGCAAGCGCAAGGCCTGAGTTCAATCCCCGGTTCCACCAATAATAATAATCTGGAGATAATTCCAACTGTATGGGAGGTGTGCGTAGGCTCTAAGTCAGTAAGTAAGATGCCATTTTAAATATGGGACTTGAGCTGCAGGGATACTGTTATCTCACACTAATTCCCCAAGGAAAGGCTACAGCTACTTAGGGAGGCAGTAAATTGTCAAGAAAGAACAGTTTTTGTGAGACTCGACTTGAGGAAAAGCCCCCCGGCGAGGCGCTGCCGGGACGCCGCGCTGTACCTTCAGCTCCTGCTTCGGCTCCACGTTCTTTATGGTCGTGTAGTACACGTGGTGGCCGTACTGGTAAGCCACCAGGTTCTGCTCCAGGTGGTTCTGGGCGGGGCGCACGAACATCATCCAGTTGCAGAGGCTCTCGTCGGACAGCTCAAACCACAGGTCCTCGTGTAGATCCCTGTCTTTCCTGTCCCCTTTCTCGAGAGACACCTGCAACCGGAGAGGAGGCAAAGTGCTACACCAAACCACAGAAGTGAACAACCCAAGCCCTCCCCTAGGAGATGCGCTCAGGCAGGGGACAGTGCTCCCTAAACCAGCCATATATCCCGGACCTTCCCTTCATCTCTAGAAAGATGCTAGAACTAGGATTTGTCAAAGCTAAAAGGAAATTTTACTCCCTAAACCGTCACCTGGAGAACTACCTGACAAAACCTACAAGTTCAAAATCTATTGCATGGTGTTAGTTAACATTTCACATAAGAAATACCAAAACAAACGCTATAAATAAGCCAAGAAATGCAAGCACAATGCTCTCCAGTTCATTACAACTTGCCTGCTTTGGAAATTCAACTGTATTCATTTATAATATGCAGCACAAGGATATGTATTTCTCTATACAGTATGATGTTCTGGCTTCGAGAGCTTGTATACTCACCAAAGAAACCCCCCCCCATGGCAGCAGCTAATTTCTCAAAAAAAATACATCCTAACTATTCATCCTCTCCTAGTATCTGTTCCTAGCTCTCCAGGATGGCTGCTCAGACAACAGATAGCAAGGAGAGTTGGACAGAAGCAAAAGGAGCAAATGTGAAGAATGGAGATCAAAATAAAGCCACTTCAGTGAATGGCTCATTTATTTATTTATTTATTTATTTATTTATTTTTGGCAGAACTGGGGATTGAACTCAGGCCCTTGTGCTGGCCAGGCATGGGTCTTTAATTAAAAAAAAAAAAAAAAAATCAGCAGTAAAAAGCTGTTCCAAAATTGAAAAGTGGCTTTTTTACAAAGATTACTGGCACACAGTAGATGCATATATCCATGTAGTTTTCTTTAAATTCCCAATTAATTTTAAACACAAAAAAGACAAAGACTGCCGATGCCTTTGCTGTGTTGCTCTCAGCTCCCGATTCCTTTGGGAGTCCTACAACCCTCAGACCTCAAGATGTGCTTATGTGTGGAAACAGGCCTTCCGTGAGGTCACTCAGTTAACGCCACATCATTAGGGTGGGACCTGGCCCAGTGCGTGGTCCAATAAGGAGAGGAGATCAGAACAGACACCAGAATGCACAGGGGAAAGACTGCTGAAACACAGCCCTCAGCAAGCCCAGGAGAGGCCTCGGGAGGAACCAGCGCCGCTCACACCTTGTCTTGAGCCTCGGCCTCCACACTCCGGCTGAAGCTTCCTGGTCTGGCATTTGATTATAGTGGCTCCAGCACACTGCCTACCCCTAAGACTACACCTGTTAGAATTATTCACATGATGCCTTCAGGGGCTGAGATTACATTCTCCATTTTTTTTTCCTTTTTTAATTTTTTATTTTATTTTATTGAGAAACAAATAGCAATGAGACAGTTTCAAAACTGATTAATAGGGCAGTTTCAATAACTAATACATTGTACATTGTTATCTTTTTAGTGGTTATCTGTAGTACAAGATGCAGACAGAATATCCTGTCCAAACGTATTAGTACAAATCTTTCTTCTCATTGACATTCTCCATTTTATTAGGGACCAAAAAAAAAAGTTTCTTTGAAATAGATTAACCATAAAAAGAAAAATACCAACAAGTGTTATGAAGTAGAAATAAGAGGTTAAGGAGAAAAATAAAGCTCTGGTGAGATAGCGTGGTGGACTAAGTGTCTGCTTAGTCAAGTGCAGGAACCAGGGTTCAATCCCTAACACCACAGGCCATGCCAGCCCTGCGCCCAGGTGCGCTGAGCCAGCCACTGAGACCAGGTATGGTGGCATACACCTGTAATCCCAGTCTGGAGAGGCTGAAAACAGGAGGATCACTACAAGTCCAAGCTGCACAGTGAGACCTTGTACGAAATACATTTAAAGAAAAATGAGCGCCCTTGGAAACACGCTGTTGAAGAGTGGAGGAGAAAGCAGAAATTACCTTCAGATGAATGTAACAGTCTTTCAGCTCAGACCCTCTGACGAGCGGCCCCTCCACAGGACCGAACTGGGTACGCTTGGGAATGCGCCTCTTGGAGAACACCCCGCCAAGGAACCTGTCTATGTAGAGGACCAGGGGCAGACTGGCTCGGGCCCGAGTGAGCACAGGCCGGTTGGGGATGGGATGCAAGGGGCCGTGCTTCGGACACACGGAAGAATGCGCGTTATTGCACTCCTCGCACCCTGAAAAAGAAAGAAAGCCTTGAAGGAGAGTCCAGTTCCTCAACAGGATTTGCTCTCAGGTAAAAAGTTCTGATTTGAGAAATTCCCAGAACTAAGGCTCCAGGCCAGAACTCAATTACATTTCACAAGAGCACTACCCACTTCATTGCATTAGCTTTCAGACACCAGCCATAAAAGTGCTGTCATTTCCCTCCAAAAGCAGGCAGAAGTTGCTTATGCCGACTGAAACTAATGTGCAGGCTGTGACTTACGTCTCTGATGGATAGTAATTCAAACAGTGGCTGTTAAACTTACAAATCAATTATAACACTTGGGGAAAGGAAAAAAAAAGAGATTCTTCAGCCAGATACTGCAAAGTCTAATGATACCAAATTATTTCAATAAAGCTACTTGGGGGAAAAAGAAAACCTTGACAATACCAATCAATTTCCTCAAAGGGCAAAGTTAGCGAAATCTCATTAAGAGCGTATATAACTGAAGCAGGGAAAGTACCACACAGCATGCAATTTCAATGCAGACTGCCTGATCATGCTAAAATGCCCAAAGTCAGCATCCCCTCCATTCACTTGGACCCCACAATCGGCCCCACCTTGCCAGGTCATGCATTTTTAGCTCACTCTAGGAGAATTCAACTTCACCAAGCCTGCCACATTTGCTTCCTGTTGCAATAGGAAGGCAAACCCACGCAGCAGGGAAGGCGGAGGGCCAGGGGCCTCGTGCTCACCCATTGCACCCCCTGGCTAAGTGGTGACATGGGTCAGACACAGTATTTTCAGTTTCTAGAACCCTCAGAGAATGACTCTGTATTAATATTTATGAAATAAAGTGGCTTTCTGTGCATTTTACTTAGGAGTTGGCTTGAAAATTTCTGACCTCCAGGAAAAACTAAGAGGAAATTCTCTGCTGGACAAAGACTAGATGGGAGGGGACTGCTGGTCCCATGCAGGGTGGTTTTAGAAGCACCCCTTGGAAGGCCCAGGAGAAACAGCAGGAGTGCTGACCAGCCTCAGTCACTCAAAGGAATGAAGCAAGCGCTTTGCACAGGAGCGTGAGGGTCCAGGGAAAGAATAAGGATCTGGTAGGTGGAAGCTGGACTGTGCGCAGGCAGGGCAGTGGGTGTTGTGGATGACCAAGGCACAGCTGTGCAGCCACATATTCTGAGCCAGAATTTAGGCTCTTGTCATGCTTGTAGGACCTTGGGAGTGTCCCACCTGCTAAGACCACAGAAGCCATTAAATACATTAAGGAGCGTGGTGTGTTAAGCCAGGGAGGGACATGATAAGCATTTCTAAAAGGTTTTATGAAACAAAGGAGGCAGCAAAGCAAAGTCATTAGAGCTAAATAGTCCCTGCCTGGACCAACACACAGTAGCAGTCTTTTTAAAACAAAGACCAGGATCAGATACCTGAAACCCCAATCATCCCAACATGGCCCCAGCAGGCAGACTAACCACCTCCTGGACTTCATTTTTCTCATTAGTAAGACCAGAAAGCAAACACCTGGGTCACGGTCTCCCTCCCAGGATGGTGGGATGACAGAGGCAGAGTGCATGCGGGTCGCTGTGCGTGGGATGTGGGAAGGACTCAGTGCATGTGACACAGGCTCATGAGAAAGAGCCCGGCGCCTGCACTTACACAAATCATGAGGGTCAAAGGGCCGGGGCGGGTCTGGCTCCCAGTCGTCTAGGTCTGTGTCTTCACCATCTTCTTCCTCCTCCTCCTCCTCCTCAGTATCCTCTTCCTCTTCCTCTTCCTCTTTTGCCTCCAGTCTGGCTATGGGGTTCTGCAGAGTTGCGAGAGGGTCGGAACCATCCACGCTCTCGATGGAAGGCAACACCTGGTTAAGCACAAGGATGGGGCGTGGGCAGAAGCTTAGGCATAAAACGAGCAGACAGTGCTCAGGTATTTGCAGGTACATGCAGGTAGACGCAGGTACCTGCAGCGAGGACAAGGCTGTGTAGACTGTACTCTCCCTGACACCGCCCTGCAAGACCCCGGGGAAAACAGTTTCTGCATAGGCTATAAAGATGAGACTGACTTAATTTTGGATGTCTGATGTGCAGAGCTTTTAAACTTCTCTCCTCCTCTTCCCCAGTGCTTATCTGAGCAGACTAAAAAAGCCCAGGTCTCTCTCCTTTAAGTCTCCTTTAAGTCACATGAGCCCCTGACTGAGCTTCTGACCCCGCCCTTTCACCAGGGGAAGCCAGGGCCCTCTCCTTGCTCCTGCAAACCACTTACACCTGCTAGAGGCCTGCCCTGCCTCCTGGAGACTTAGCGCACGCAGTCAGTCGGTACTGACTGCCTCCTGGGTAGATGTGGAACGCAGCCTCCAGATCCCAGCTGTGTGTTTCTCGCTTAAATAACTTTTTTTCTTTTTTAAGAGAGGGATTCACTACACTGCACAGGCTAGTACCAAACTCCTGGATTGAAGTAAACCTCATGCCTTAGCCTCCCAGGTAACTGGGACTATCAGCACATATGATCAACACCTCGGCCACTTCACCTTCCGTCTGTGCCAACGTGGTGCTGGGATCGAACCCAGGGTCTTACGCACGCTAAGGAAGTGCTTTACCACTGAGCTACAATCCCAGCCCTACTTCACGTTTAAAACTGAACACACAGTACCCCATGCAGCTGACACAATTTCATAGATAACAGCTCTACTTTCATATACTTCATAGAAGCTGAAGTTTAGGAAAAAGAAATGTGCCTAATGACTTCTTCATACTGAAGTCAGTCTCTTACAAATAGGACAAAATTCAAGTGACATTCTGATTAATGTTATCTTATGGGCAGAAAGATCCTCACAAAAGTTCTCCTGCTTCTAATGTGAATGTTATGCGTCCTCTGCTACTCCCGATGCCTCCTGTCTGTGCTGCCCAGTTACCCAGAGGTCACGATCAAGCCTGCAGCTTTCCATGTAACAAATCTAGCAGGTGTCTAAGCACGCCACTCCCCTTATCTCCTTTCCCATAGGCTCTTTCCACTCCCAGGATGCTCTTCTCTCACAGTCTCCTCCATCCCAGCGGGTCACATCTGCTGCCACTGTGCCTCCCTACCCCCTCTTGCCCCCTCCTTTCCTTTCCAGGCAGCCCAAATCATTCTGAAACAATCTCACCCCAGTTCTTGGAGTCCACCTCCCCTGTGCATGTCTTCATGCACTGGTTGAAGCTTGTGACTTTTGTCTGGACTTAAAATAGAAAAGTCTAAACCCTCTGCCACATGAGTCAAATATTTGAGCACCAAAAGTCCTAAATTCACTTGATCGTTCTTATATGGATGAACTTCCATCTCCCTAACTGTCTTGTCTTCATCTATTCCTCGATGATTCCAGATTTTACGACTACAACATCAGAGCATGTTAGTGCCTGTAACGGCCACCTCTCTACTGCGACCCTGACGTGGCTTCACAGATGACTGCAATCACCGAGACCTTTCTTCCCCCACAGAGCACTACTAAGCTACCTTCCCCATGGGACTGAACTATTTTTACTTAAATGAGGGGTTTTTTGTATCCATCTCTAAAAAATTTCATTTGATTACTTGAATCTGCTCTATTGGTCTGCTGAGATCACTTAGAATCTTCTTCTGAGTTCTCTCTTCCCTTTTTTTTTTTTTTTCTTGGTACCAGGAATCAAAATGAGGACCTTGCACTTGCCGGTTGCTGTGCCCCTAACCTATCTCCTCAGCCCCTTGCTTAGAATCTCGATTCTGATCTTCCACGTTAGCCTCCACCCCCATAGCTCTATGTCCATCACCAACCACCATCAGCTCTGTCCATGAGCATGTCTCCACCTTGCCTCTCCACCTGTACCTAGTGAGCAGGCCCTGGGCTCTAGAGTCAGGCAGATTTAGGATAAACACCTGGTTACCAATCTCTGAACCTTAGTTTCTTTATCTATGAGATGATTCATAAGTACATACTGCATTGGTTGTTGTGAAGATTAAATGCAACAAGATGTTCATGAGAAATTTAGTAAATGTTCAGTATTGATGATAGACTATTAGTACTCTCATAAATTCTCTAAGCCCTGAGGTGACATTACATATTTCCTCTACAACATCAAAAGATGAGACTGCTGTGCATGCAGTAGGTGTTCATCAAAGAAGAGTTTGTAGAAATATACTTGGCCCTTTGGGAGACGACACCAATCCCTTCAAGCATCTAGAGGGATCCTTCATCTAAAAGGATTCCCTGCTGTTGTACACAGAAACATCTGTTTTCTGTTACACATCAAAATCTAAGCCATTCCCAACCTCTAAAAGGAAATAATCTGTGTGCCCACACAGCCTGACCTGCTACAGCCATTTAAGACCACCACCCAACATTTAAAAAGCTCAGGCTACAAAGGGCATGTAAAATCAGCTACCGCAAAGAGCAGGCATATGTGCTACTTATATTATTTTTAATTTTTTAAAGCTAAGCAATAAGGCCTCGTTCCATGTCCCAGGCTGGCCCTGAATTCCCGGCTCACTATAGTCAGCCTGCACGCACATGTTCTAGTCATGTAAGCCAGATGCCCAGGCTTCTGCACGACATTTTACCACTCTAACCCAGAGCCTTTGAGAAATTCTGCATGAGAGGATAAGATTCAGGGAGAAGCTATGTTCAATAAAAACAGAATAAAATGCCTAGTGCAGGTGATGACCCTACAAGGAGAAGACCAGAGGACTTCCAGCAATACAGTGGCTCTGGCCCCCTCACCATAGCCTAGGAGGCAAAATGACTTCATTCCCACTCAGGCTCTCGCACGGGTTACTACACTGTTCTTTATTCAGAACCACTTAAATTTTATACCAACATTAGTGATGAATGTTATCACACTGAACAAACCAAAGTATACATGCACCTCTGCTCCTCATAAATTTTTTATCTCTGTAGAGTCAACCTCAAAGAATGAATTCAGCAACTCAAGAGTTATTCTAGTGAAGCTATGATGATGTATTTTTCCCCAACTGATGCTATTAGAAGTACGGTGGTTCAGCCAGGTTGCTGCTGGCTTCTTGCCACCGCTGAGAACGCTGACATCAAAACAGTGCCCATAGCCTCCGCGGGCTCCCCGCGCTGGAACGCTCCTGAAAGACTGTCAGAGCAAAAGACTCGCATGCTTTCACACTGACTTTAAGTACTAACCCCAAAGCAGGGCTGAATGCATATCAGAATCACACAAATTGGCAAAAAGGAAGAAACAGGGGGTGGTGATAGTCACTTCTAGGTAAGAATTACTTACTTTCAGATAGCGTAAACCAGACTGCACACACAGTAGGATGCTTTGCGACTCTGCTACCTAACTCATAATCAGCTGACACTTACTGAGTGCTGTTGGAATTCTTTGGAGGCTAGGTGCTACCACATAGCTTCTACGTGGAGACACAAAACTAAAACTGCCTCTGCCCGGTTTTTTCCACCAGATCACCAAGATCCCTACAGAATTTGGTCTATTCAAGGAGGGCAGGCAGAGAGGGAACAACCCCCTCTCCTTGAGTACCAAGTCAAACAAGCTAACATACACAAAAGCTCCTAAGGTATAGCCAGGCAGAGGGTGGTAGGTAATGGGGGACTATTTTACTTAGAGCAAAAGAATAAGAAACAAAATTATTTTAGCCCATATGTTTTGTCATATATGATTAAGCACAGTAAAAAGAAAAAGAATTTGTTAAACTGATGGTCTACTTCCCTTCCCACTTCATGTTACCCTGTAATTACTTCTGAACTACACAATGCATTTTGGGACATAATTATCTGAGAAAAAAATATGAAACGCCACTGGACAGCCGCAAACATGACAGAACGCTTCTTGCTTCCTACTGAGACCAATTATCAGCACAGCATATTCCCTTCTCAGTGTGTGAGGAATCGCACATGCTCATTTTCAGAAACACACAGGAGGCTTGGACTCTGCGTATGGAGCCTTTCTTAAGGATGAGGGAATACATACATTAAAAAAGCCTGCAAACGGACTAAGTCATCACTAAAAACAACTGAAAATAGAAACCTCTAAGGTGAAAAGAAAAAAATACAACCATCATCTATGTTAAAACCTCACTCAACTTTCTATCCAGAATGTATCCAGGTCACTGAATAAATTGACAACCGCTGAGGTGTGACAGCCAGAAAGGAAAGCCGTGCTGCTTGAAAGGAAATTGCAACAAAGAAGACACTGGACCTTGAGGTCGCACTCACTGACGGAGTGTGCGTGTAACACACGCAGGGCCCTGGGTTCAAGCCTCAGCACCAATACAAGAAGAAAATGAAAATAAGAACACCAAGGCAGTTGTTACATCGTCCGGTAATGCCAGGTTCACAGAGCTACGTGAGCACAACTTTCCTGACGTACAAAACATGAAAGCAGATTATTTCCGGAGATTGGAGAAGAAGAACACTTTGAAGTGCAAATGGAGAGGAGACCTATAATTAAAACTATGCCTTAATCATTAAAACAACAAGAATATCACTTCCCCTATCAGATGGGCAAAATTTGAAAAGAATGCAAATAATATAGTTAATGTAGTAAGCGTGTGTGGAAATGAGGATTCACATATATTGTTGGTGGGACTATAAATTTTTTCAGTATCCAAAAACGCAATTTAGAAATTCATAGAAAAATAGCTTCCAAGTTTATAAGGACAGATTTCAAATACAGAAAAAGAAAATAGTGTAATAAACCTTATGTGCTTACCTCTCAGCTTCAACAATTACCAATTGTCTCACTTCAACTAATCCCCCACCCTTTTTCTCCTTCACTGGATTACTTTAAAGCAATTCCTAGATGTTACACATTTTAGCCTACCAACAGTACAACACAGGGCCAGCAAGATAGCTCAGTGCACTAAGTG